CAGTCAGTCAGTCAGTCAGTCAGTCTATCTTTCCATCCATCCATCCATCCATCCATCCATCCATCCATCCATCCATCCATCCAGTCACCAGAATAACGCCCAGCCAGTTTACTCCCAGTATTAGCTAAATTTCTGAGTATATATTTCATTTCATATATATAAATTGAACAAACACACCAAATAAATAAATAAATAAATAAATAAATAAATAAATAAATAAATACCTCAGACCATTATTTTCCTTCTTTTTATATCTTTCAATCTACTTGTTTACAGGGTGCCCCAGGAGTGCCTGGAGTTGCTGGTCCAGCTGGGAAACCAGGTGATCGTGGTGTACCGGTAAGAGAATCAATCATTGGTGTTTATTGTATCTTTTGTGAAAAGCCCTTTTACTTTACCAGTAGGAAATTGTGCATCATACAATGGCTTTCTTTGATGGCAAATCTGATTTTTAAACAGTCTCACTTTTTATCATTCATCCTTTTTGCAGCATAAAAGGCAGGTCTGGAAATTGTGGTCATAGGGTTTTTTTCCACTTTAAAAAAGTACTCCCACTGAACATGCCAAGGCTTATATTTCTGCACTACATAAACATCCCAGAGGTAAATTACTTAGTGGAATTACTATTTGCTATTTTTAAAACTCAGTCAGGTGTGATATACGGCCTGTGGTGTTTTTTTTAATGTACCATTTTGAGAACATTTAGCTTAAAAATGCTTAAATGAAGTTTCCTAACATTCTGTTGATGGCTTCAAGTCTGCAACTTTCTTAGAGATTAAGTGGGATCAGGAGTTGGCCTTAATAGCAACTGATGGAGCCCCTTTGACAGATGTATCCAAGACCACAATGGGAAAACATTTGGCATCAGAGCACGCAGCAGTCACATCTGCTGGCTCAGCTACCATGGAAATGCAATAGGGTCCATCTCATTATCTTTGTTTCATTATCAGTATTCTTGAAGAAAAGTAGACTAGTCCTGATGAAGATTTTGGATCCTAGAACTGATTCTGCTAACAAAGTACTATAATATGGCTTTGGTTTTGTGTTATTATGCCTCTTTGTGAAATGCTTTGCAACCCTTGGCTATAGGTTCTGTGATCATAAGAGTATTCAGTCATATCTCTAGAGTAAATGAATCAGACTAGCATGTTCCATTGATTTGAGTTGGTCTGAATTGTAATGTGTAAATTACCTGTAAATGATCTGTAAAGATCATTTAAATTAAGAGTGTATAACCTGAGAACCCAAACTTATTTTTGTGGCCCTTATAAACCACATCTGGCTATGATTGCTAAAAATTAGCAAGACAGCTTTTTGCTTTTATGAAGTGGGAAACATTGAACGTATAGTGTAAAACAGATTAAACATACCTTTAAAAAAAGTAAAAATCCCAAACCCCAACTAAAAAAAATAAAAGCAGAAAATCAGGGCAAATCTCCCCTACCAGGATTTTTTATTTAACTTGTATATCTAGGCTTGATTGCATGTTATTTTTTTTGTTCTATTTTTACATAAGGTGAATATGTAACATGATTTGAGAACATATAATAACTTGCCCCACTCTCCATATGTTTGACATCATACTCACTGTTTCTCATGTTTATAGACCAGTTCCCAGCAGGAACTCTGGCGCACAGAGTTTGTGCAGATGTTTGGTTAGACTTAGGAGGCAGATAGGATTTCAGCACGCACATTTGTGCTATCAAAAAATGCCAGAAGGGCAACCTAAGACCATATGTGTGAGTAGCCAGCCAAATGTAGCCTGCAGAGATCTAAAGGTCATGCAGCTTTCCTGTAGCTGTATGGCCCAGTTCCAGAGTAGCACTTTATTTGATCATGCACTATTTCCTTTGATAATTTCGGACCCTCAGTGTATCTTTGCAGAACCAATCATACAAAGATCTAAAGTATATAGTTCAATCCAAGGATGAGATGAGGATCTCAGGATCACCTGTAGTAAATGCAATCATTTCAGTCTGAGCATGGTGTAAGACTATTAGATAACTCTAGACAATCATGCTAGTGCATAGAGGATATCTTAAATAAATTAGTCACTAGCATAATAATTCAGGGCATGTTAGAATATTACCTGATCATTCTGAATTGGTGCCAAGCAAGTAATCTCAAATGGTGCAGATCTGCAGGAATTAATGATACCACCAACTCCGTAAAGACAGCAAAATGCTAACAGGTAACCCCCCCCCCCAAAAAAAGGCAAAGCTACTTAATTTCTGTTTAAGTTGTCTTCAGTAAGAAAGCATGAAGGGGCAAGATGAGCCTGAGTTTGATAGAAACACGGACAAGGAATTCCTGTTTATCTTGAATGAGTTTAAATCTCCAGATGACCTGTAACCTAAGGTTAGGGTTAGAGTTGAAAACAATGGTAATTGCCAGAAGTCACCTTGAGTTAGTATGTTTTGCCAGACTGTGTCCAAAGCTTCAGCATTGAGCTCTTTATACTTCAGTACTTTTATTAATGACTTGAATAAAGAGGTGGAGGCAGCGGTTATCAAATTAGCAGATAATACAAAAGTGTATGGGCTAATAACCTAGAAGAAAAAAATGAAGTTCAGAAAAACCTGGATAGATTGTACAAATGGTCTGAACAAAACAGAATGAAATTTAACAAAGACAAATGTGGAGAAATAGGATTAGGATTAGCAGTTATGAAAAAGATCTTGGAATAATAGTTGATTGCAAATTGAAGTTCAGTCAGCAAAGTGATAAACTGCAAAAAAAAAAAAAAAAGGCAAATACCATTTAGGATGCATGAACAGAAGTATATAATTTCCAAGCTGCGGTAAGTAGATACTGTGTGTTTGAGCCCCACCCTTTAATACATATGCACTACGTAAGTCATGCAGTAGCTCTGTACTGGTACTAGCAGCCTGGCTTTCCTTTTAAAAATGCAAAAGTATTTTGGAAGTCCAAATAAAGCCTTCAGGAGAATGATTCTTCCATTTAAATCAATCTTTTCTAAACCTAGGAGATCTCTGCTTCTAATCTGTGTTTTTAGTTTTTCATATTCTTTTAAAAATATTGAGAGAAGTGCTTCATCTTAATAGAGTTGGGAAAAGACATCTAGGTCATCAAAACCAATCTCTTGCTCAGTGAAGGAATTCATATTAGAATAACCCTGACAAATTGTTCTCTATCCTCGGCTCGAACATATCCAGTAAAGGGGAATCATAATTGATTTCATATCACATTGTCTTGTTCTTTGATTTTCCCAACATACAACCAGCATATGGTTTCATGTTAGTTAAAATCAGTGGTTCCCAACCTGTAAAGCCCATAGGAGTATCATAAGTGTTCCAGGTGTAGCTGTCAACAATATTCCATTTTAAATGGCTAAGATTTCTCAAGGTCCACAGTTTTGGAACATTTTGGCGCTCTCATTCAAAATCATATGAGATTATAGCATTCTTCCCCCAGCTCTCTCAGGATTTTAAAAATTAAAATTAATTTCATTTAATTGGGGGTTGGATATGTGAATTCTATATGCCGTGGTGCATTCAGACACTGCATCATTAACCCCTGGTGACAACTTATTTGTCCACATAAAGGAAAAGATTGGGAACCACTGCTTAAGATTATTGTTATATGACCTGCATTCTGCAAAGAAAAGAACAGGTCATGACTTTATTCTGTATAATAACTCTTTAAATTATTTGAACAGTGCTTTAATTTCCCCCTCAGTCTTCTCTTCTGAGGCTTTTATTTTTCTTTTGGAAAGATGGATTCTGCTATGGCTATAGCTTCCCAAAGCTTACTTTGTGAGCAAGTGTCCTCTTCATTTTCAGTCCAAGTTGCTAATGTTGCTTCATTCCAAATAGTCTGACAGTAATGAAGAACTGTGAAACAGAGACAGATGTGCTCTCTGAACCTTATATTACCAGCCAGACTTAGGAATATATGAGTGTATTTTGAGTCACTATGCCTGATGCTGAAGTCTCTGTATTTGAAATTATCCCTAGTGTAGCTGTTTTACTTTTGTTCATGATTTCAGTGACATATTTTATAAATACTGACATTATATTTAATTGCATACAGTTATGTTCTAGTCCTGACTTCTGGAATAATTTTAGTGTATTGTTAAGTAGCTTGAGAATACACTGAGATGTTTTGAAAGAAACTAACTAGGACCAGATTTAGTGGTGACTTTTGCTGTGCTGATGAAAAAATATTAAGTGACACATTTCAGAGAGACATTTGCAAAACTAGCAGTCCTTTCTGAAAATGTTAGAATGAAAATTGAAATGCAGCTTGGCATAAGTGATTCTGTTTGTACTGAAGATGTCATACCTTGATAAAGAAAATTCATTATCACCTTTGATAAACACTACATGGCAGATGTTCAGCTCATTAGAATGAGTGGGTGGTATCCCTTGATGAATCTGTAATTTATCTGATACAGTGGTACCTCGGGTTACAAACGCCTCTGTTAACGAACTTTTCGGGTTACGACCAG